TTTTTATTTATTTGACAGAGAGAGAGACAGCCAGAGAGAGAACACAAGCAGGGGGAGTGGGGGAGAGAGAAGCAGACTCTCACAGAGCGGGGAGCCTGACTCGGGGCTCGATCCCAGGACCCTGGGATCATGACCTGAGCCGAAGGCAGACGCTTAACGACTGAGCCATCCAGGCGCCCCTCAACTAATTATTTTAATTCTGTTACGGTGAATGCAGTGAGCGAAGACAAGCGGCATCTCTAGTTGAAATCATGTGCTTGCCTAAAAAAATCATCCTGCTGTTAGTCATGATGCTTTTGATTAAGAAAGCCTTTTGAGGCAGGAGTAAATGTTAGTTTTATAGCCCTAATCAAGGGTATTCCCAAGGAAGATTTGTGTCCTAAGGCTGATTTAGAGTGTTTTTAAATGTTGCTATCATCATTTTACAAACAACTTTTATATTTCTGGCTTTTCATCCCACAATTTAGGTTTTTACCGTATGTTGGTATGGTCACCATAATAATGAATGACTACCCAAAATTCAAGGTAGGAATGTGTCTGTATGTCTGCATTAAAAAAATGTATATACATTGGAGCTTTTTGCACGTGCCGCTGTAAAGATGCAGTCTGTTTAAAATGTTTTGCTGGGTTTTTTTGTTTTGTTTGTTTTTTTGCAGAGTGTTTGTATTTAACTACAAATTAATATAACCATTTAAATTAACACTTAAATCAGTTATTTAAAATAGCTACTTTCATCTTTTGTGTTCATAGTGTATTCTAAAATGGCACCTCTATATTTGTTGCTTTTTATCACGGAAATCTTTAAACATACAAAAAAAGTAGTACAATAAACCCAGTAATGATGATCTCTCAACCTCAATAAAAATGGTATCTATATTTTTTAAAAACCACTTGAAAAACAATAGGGAACCTACACAAGAATGAGCAGTGAGTTAGCCGTGTTTGTTGGGTGCTTGATCCTTAGTCCATCAGTATATTTGGGGGGTGGTTTAAACCATAATGTGGCATTGAACAGCTAGTTTGGAGAACCAGGCAAGGGGGAAGAGGTCATCTTTTGATTCTGTCCTCAGTCTAGCACTGAGCAGACTTCATCTGAATACATTTATAGACCAAACCAATTTGTAGAGCTCACAGTAATTTCCCACTGTGTTTTCTTTACAGTATGCTCTTTTGGCTGTAATGGGTGCATATGTGTTACTAAAACGTGAATCCTAAAATGAGAAGAAGTTCCTGGGACCAGATTGAAATGAATTCTGTTGAAAAAGAGAAAACCTAATATATTTGAAATGTTCCACTTTCTGTATAAAAGGAAACAATGTGGAGACATTTTTGTCTTGTCCAAATAAATGATTCATCAGTGAAGATTGTTTTCTTTTGTGGGCTCTGATTTGAACCTGCTCAATCTATGTGCCACTCGTGGTAGTCATTCTAAGCCAAGCACCGGGGTCTGGGCCACTTCTGGACCTGCTGCTGGGGATGATGCATGGTCCCCACGATGTAGTCGTAGTGTCTGAGTTTCAAAACTAAAACTCTTTGCATGGCATAATAGCATTTCTGGGGGGGAAACGAACAGGCCCCTAAAAGGAAATGGTTTCTTATTTACTAAAGTAGAATCTGATAAGTTAATAAAGCCTAAAACCTTTTTAAAAGGAAAGATGTAATCTGCTTTGTGTTTGTGGTGGGATCTATCTTGAGATAGTTGGATAAAGTATTTGAAAAGTGCTTCATAAATTAGAAAAACAGTGCATCCTCCCTTGAAAACTTACAAAAAGTACAGAAGGGTGAGAGGCGCACGTCCCTCTCCGTAGTTTCCCAGGGACCTCCACTGTGGGAGTTTTACACAGTATATCGTCCTGCACAGAAAGTGGTCCTTCACGAAACTATCTGGAAACTATCTGTCAGGCATTTCTGTCCCAGCTATCGCCCTAGGTGCTGGGGCTGTGGAGTCCTAGCCTGGATGGAGTTTGCAGTGTGTGGGAGGAACACTCGGATTTCAGAAGTGACGATTGCTCTGAAGTAAAATTAAACAGGGTCAGCTGATAGAGAGCCAAAGAGAATTCTTGCTTTTCATGTAGAGGCCAGGGAAGACTCAGAGGAGGGGACCTTGAGCAGAGTTAAGAAATCAGGCAGGTGAATCCTGGGGAAGAGCATTCCAGCCCAGAGAAGGGAGGGATGCTCTCAAGCTTTAGTGAGCGTGCAGAGCACCTGGCTGCCCTTAAAGGCAGGTTCTGACTCAGGAGGGCTGGGGTGGGGCCCGAGACTCTGCATTCCCAACTCCCTCCCGGGAAGGGCGATGCTGCTGGGGCCTGGACCACAATATGTGTAGCGGTGTTAGAGGAATAGAAAGGAGGCCAATGATGTTTTCAAATGCCCTCTTCAATTTTAACGGAAATGTTCTCTTTTCACCGAATATCCTTTTGGTGAGAACTTACAAGTCTCCGTCATTCTTTGAGGTCTGTCCAAATCTGGTGGAAGGGCTTAGAATCCCTAAAAGCCACTTAACCACCGCTCGGCCTTGAGCAAGCTCAGTTCTCTCAGGATCGAATGGAGGATGGGAGCTGCACTCAGCTCCCTGGCTGTCCCCAGGAACAGGAAACTACCTCACCGAATGCTCTGAGCACGGGCGCTTGACGTATGTGCAGTACGCGCTCAGTCGCCCTTCCCCATTGTTAGGTGAGTTTTCCTTTTCAGTGTCAGCCTGTGCCTCGTCCCCCACCTGCACAGCTCCTCTCTGACGGAGCCCCTGATCTGGGGAAGAGCAGCAGGGGTGAGCCGCGGGGGGCAGCTTGCCCCATAAGCAAGCTGTCATCCTGTCGAAATAGCGAAGCGAAAGAGAAAGAATTTACAGGACGCTTTCTACAAACATGATTCTCCTGTGCCCTTTAATAAACTCCTTTCTTAAGAGAAAGAGATTTTGGGGCACCTGGGTGGCTCAGTCGGTTAAGCGTCTACCTTCGGCTCAGGTCATGATCCCAGGGTCCTGGGATCAAGCCCCGCATCAGGCTCCCTGCTCAGCAGGGATCCTGCTTCTCCCT